TCCCTCAGAAATAAAATAAACATTAAAAAATTAAAAAAAAAAAAAGAAATAGCAGATCTATATCATTCATCCATCCATCTATTCATCATCCATCCATTCAACAAATATTTTGGAATGTCTGCTTAATGCTAGAACTTACCTTTAATGCCTATGTTGACTATCCACCCCTCCAGTAGCATAGCCCACGCCAACTATATGTGTTAATCTATAGACATAAGGCATTATTTGTTCAAAGGGCTCTTTCCTGTGTCCTCTTTCACACTTTGATAACTGAGTCCTCAAATTTTAATGGAAGGAACAAATTCATGGCAGTATTTAAACCTTATCAAGAAAGTCTTCTAAAGAGGCAAATGTAAAATAAACTCTGTTCTTCATTTATGTCATTCCACAGAAGAAATTTGGTCACAAGACTCTGACAATTATGTCCACAAACTCGCGGATTCCTATCATTTTGTTGTATATTTCAGGAAATGCAGTCCTAGGCCAGTAATGCTCCTGAGGGGCAATTTTGTTTCCTAGGCAACAGTTTTGTTTGTCATAACTACAGGAGTGCTACTGGTATCTAGTGGGCAGAGACCAGGGAAGCTTCTAAACATCCTACAATACACAGAACAACACCCCCTCCACACACACACACACACACACACACACACACACACACACACAGTAACAAATTAACCTGCCCAAGTCTTAGTAGTCCTGAGGGTGACGATGAGAAAGCCCATTCTAGACCTCTTACTACATTCCACAGACAATGACATAGATGTCCAGGGAGGTCAAATGATTCACTATAACGCTAATTAGTGCCATTTAACTGGTACATCTGAAAACCGCTCTGTACCTTGCCACTGTCTTCACTAGTTCCTCAAGAGCGACATTTCAAGCCATGACCCGATAAAAGGGTTTTTATATGTTTGCACGCGTAAGTCACTAAAAACAACAGGCTTCAAATCCATACAATATAATTACTACTATTGTTATTTAGAAGTTACAAAGAATTTCTTATGAAGATCACGATTCATATTCATTTATGGGCACCACAGATTCTAAACACCTCTCTTTTATGGGTACGTCCACTCAAGAGAAAGGAAGCTAGGGGTGCCTGGGTGGCTCAGTCAGTTAAGCAGCCAACTGTTGATTTCGGCTCAGATCACAATCTCACGGTTTGCGAGCTCCAGTCCTGCATCAGGCTCCGTGCTGGGTGTGGAACCTGCTTAAGATTCTCTCTCTCCCTCTCCCTCTGTACCCTCCTCTCACCGGAGAACTAAAAGAGAGAAAAATGAATCTAGAGAGAATATAAACAGATGCTTAAAACCCCCGGTGACAGGAAGCACAAGCTTTCCTGAGTTCCAGAAACAGAGGCACATTCCTAGGTCACCACTGGGTATGTTTGCTTTTCTCATGAGAACACGGTGTCTGAAACAAAGAAATGATACAATAAAGCTCTCAGAAAACCAAGACAGGCAACAAAAATAAATAGCAGTGAGAAGAAGCGGGTATTCACAAAAAAGTCATTGGGGAAAAGGCGACAGTGGCACATAAAAGGGAAAGATACCAACATGGTTAATGCTTTACACTGCGCTCATTTTAAAAATAAAATAAAATAAATTTTAGGAATAATAATGTCTTGCTTGACACTCACTTTTCAGAAAACAGGCTGGATGGTAATAATGGCATAAGCGTGTAAGCCTGAATAGTACTAAGCACCACTCACCGGCCTGCAGTGAGCCATCATGGGAGTACTAAACGTACAGGCTACAGTGTACCACGTCCACGTTGTGCAAAGGGACTGTGCGTCCCCTTCCAGTGAACTAAAGCATTTCTGACAAGTTAGCCTTGCAGATCAGGCTCATGCTAGCTCTGAATCAATGTAAGTAATTCCAAGTGAAGAAAAAGGCCTCACTAACAAACGGACTAACAAAGAACCATTTGGTCCAAGTTGCAAGCCTGAGAGTCACACCTGATATCTTATCACAAAAAAGGCAGAGGGGCGCCTGGGTGGCTCAGTCGGTTAAGCGTCCGACTTCAGCTCAGGTCACGATCTCACGGTCCGTGAATTCGAGCCCCGCGTCGGGCTCTGGGCTGATGGCTCAGAGCCTGGAGCCTGCTTCCAATTCTGTGTCTCCCTCTCTCTCTGACCCTCCCCCGTTCATGCTCTGTCTCTGTCTCAAAAGTAAAATAAACGTTAAAAAAAAAAATTTTTTTTAAATAAAATAAAATAAAAAAATAAAAATGGCAAAATTCTAGAACTAGAGAGATGGGATCAGTCTCTGAGATTATCTAGTACAGTTTGCGGATCTTAAAAAATAAGAAACTATAAAAAGTGCAATGATGTGTTCCATAATCACTGAGGCTTCGAGAAAACCAGCCACGGGGAGACTAAATGAACAAAAAAGGAAAAAAAGAACAAGCTTGCTGCCTAATGTTTTTTAAATAAATTGCTTAAGGAACAATATTTATTTAAAATAATATACAATAATAAAACAGATTATGGTTTAACATAGGTAATAACGTCCACTATGGGGCTATCACAGCTGGGTAAATAAAAAGACAGTTGTTCTCAAATCTCTCTCTGTCTCTGTCTCTCTCTCTGTCTGTCTCTCTCTCTCTCTCTCTCTCTCTCTCTCTCTCTCACACACACACACACACACACACACACACACACCCCACAGAGTATGTCAAATTATGCCACCCCAAGACCTAAGAATACTTGGACTTCCCCATCTGACATATTTCTACAGGTCCCCATAAGTCAAAGAGGAGCTCCCCAACCATCCTTCTGCCTCCTCTTAAGTGGCTCTCTATTAAGAAATACGAAAAGAGGGAATCCATGCATCTTATGCCCAAGTCACATGGATTAAAAGAATATGATTAACATAGCAGGTACCTTTTTAGGAAAAAATACCAATCACCTAGAAAAAAGTGATATCTCTCTCAAGTCACTATATATTCAAGTCTAACTGAATTCAAGAAGACTTCAATTAGAATGTGGTTTTTTTTTTTTTTATTCCACTTAAATTCTTGGCTTCATATTAAAATGCTTCCCTGGCTGTATAGAGCTATGCA